AACGAAATAATAATAATAATAGTAATTGCCTGGCCGACCTTGAACCGAAACCGACAGTTTACAAAAATTATGCTAACAAAATTGTATTTAGGTGAATTGAAATCGCCCCGAACCTTTCAGCTGCCCATAGTCATGTCTAATAACAATGAAGAAATACTCTTAAATCTTATCGACTCAAGTTTCTCATGATCAAGATTTGATATTTTGATGGATGACATTAATACGAAAAAACAAAAAAATGTAGAATTTCAAACAGACATTGAAGCACAGTTGGTTTAAAACAAGGTACGAGACAACTACACATTCTATTTAACAGAATCATGTAGCTAAATTTCTTCACTTCACTAGCCAACTTTGGGGCTCAATACATATGTTGCTACATTATAGCAGCCGAAAATAAATTATCTGAAACTAAAACATTCAGAAATCTAAAAGTACAATCCCATATTTGGCACATGAGTTCCATTTCCCCTCCTATGCCCAACACCACCTATCAATTTCATAACAGGTAATATGATAAAAGCAGTAAAAAACAACAGACAGAAAAATAAAAAATAAAATAAAAAGGATAAAAATAAAAAGCAAAGCCAAAGGAGTACAAAGCTCTCCCATCTGTATTACCCAAATAACAACCCACTGCCCAATTGTTCACCTCAATTGAATCCCATTCAGAAACTTCCTATTGCGACTCTCAGCTAACACTTTCACTCGGCTGATAATGTCTTATTACTCCAAATCCTCCTTGGATAGGCTTACGCCGCCATCCAACCGTAGAGTATCCACCAAATTTTCCGAGAGTTGACTTATTGATTCAGTGACTGAATCTCCAGTCATTTTCCCAGCTGAGCTGGCTCGTTGTTTTGCCTTCCTCTCCAGAAAGCTTTTCTCCCGCTCATCATAAAACTCGAAATCATCGAGCAGGGATGTCTCGGGATCATGCTCCTTGAAAATTTTCAGCATTTCAATTCCCTGTTCCAGCTTTACCTGAGATGGAGAGACAGCGTATTTGTTTTAAGAGTAAATAAAAGTATGGTTCATCTAAATTAGAAACGTCACAGATTCTAATAGGGTAATTACATTAAACATTTAGTTCATAGAAATCATCTCTCTTTTCTAGTGGATTCAGTTGAATATAAAACTAGGACTGATAACTGCTCATTCTTTCAAACTCCTAGCAATTTAAGTGGAATTTGGGAAGATAAACCTGATCTTGCATGTCTTTCTAACAAATTGGAGTATTCACCAACAACTTTTGGATCATATTTTATCAGTTGAAATACACTTCAAAGCAGAAACGGCAGATTCAGAAGATGGGATTACCTCTTGAGAGTCTCGACTGTGTGTCACAGGCTTGTTGTCGTTATTTTCAAGAACTATGTGGCGAAAGCGACTGTTGGGTACATCTTTTATAATATGCCATTTGACGGGAAACTGACCACTCCACCTATCCTGCTGCTGCCAGTAATCAGCATCATTCTCAAAGTCAACAGGCCCAATCATCTCAGCTACACCACAAAATTGGCCACTAGCATTAACCTGAAGGTCATTATAACACCAATCATTAAAAAAAAGACAAATACACTAATTGTTAAAAACAGAACAAACTGCACTTGCACAAATTTATATTATGAAGCCATGCCTATTTCAACAGTATTCCATCTCAGGTCATTAAACAACTTCTATATATCTATCCTTCACTAAAACAAAAGTTCATAGGCCATACATCAAATATCAAATGCCAAGAAAAATGAAATCTAAAACTAAATAAACAAAAATTTTCCTATCCAGTTGACAAATTACTCCTTCATTAAGAAAACCACCTAAGAGTTCCTCTTTTCATCCTTGGCAGCAGGTGACGTGGCTACAGATCCTTTTATAACAAATAGCTAATAGCCATCAGCGAGCAATTTTTTTAGAATCACTAGAAAATATCAATGAACTATTACACTTATCTAACTAAACATACAACTATTCGGCACAATACAGATTTTCAATATTTCTGTATGGAAAAAATTTCCCATGAGTTTACAAGTCGGATTAAATTTTCTCATGCAGTACAGCAGTTACGAAGTTCCAACAAAAAAGGAACAAGAAAAAAGCAAAAGCAAATTACCTTCTTGAATAAATCCAGGTAAATAAATTGAGTAGAAAACAGAAACCTTACCGAGAAGAAGAGAAACACTGGACAAATGCCTTCCATTTCCTTTGATTCACGATATGCAGCATCCAATTTTCGGTTCCCAAGTGGTGTGCTGGCCCAGACGCTGTATTTCATACTTTTATGGATATTATCTTCACTGAAAGACTTTATAACGAAAAACTTTGCACGTTCATAATCAGTAATGAAATCTGGGGAGTTAATATGATCGGACTGAAGCCTAGATGTAGATTCGACATCTTTAATTCCCACTGAAGACTCCTCTTCGGGACTACTCTTGCTTTTGGGCTTCAAGGCCCTTGGTCCTCTGTTCCGCTCGCTTGATAAACCAGATGTATCAGTAGAAGTGTTGAAAGCATCCCTTTCCCGTCTTCCACTTTTGTCATTGGCATATTGATATCGGCTAGAACCAGACCCAACATTGCTTTGGTAAGAACCACTGTGGACCAAATGTCTAGCTGAGGTATTTGTCGTCAACCCAAAACCCTGAAGTGGCGCCTAACATTACAAAATTAGCAATGGAAAAATAGTGATGATTAATTATGCTTAAGGACAGTATTTTCTCTTAAATCAATACTATGATCGTTACCACAAGCAATACAAGAAGTACAAATTATAAACACAAGAAAAAAGAAAATGTAACCAAAACCAACATTGAGAAATAATAACGATATTACACAACAAAATATCAGCAGAAGCTTTTCACTAGTTATAGTAAAGATCTTAGTTGGGTTGGTTGATATGTAGCAGAACCCTAATCACACCATAGCAACGGCACGGTACTGAGTTCAATTTAATAATCAGATTTACTATTACCACATGGACAATCGGGAATTGATTAGGGCAGCAGAAAAGGCAAACAAATTACGGATCATCATGTTCGTTTGTTTATCTTAAAAAAAAAAATTGTATTATTTCGCTAAATAATTTAACATCACAGAGTGGTTCACAGGCAAGCTCATCACTTGTTCATCAACACTTGGACAAAAACTCAATTATGTGTGTGTTAATGAATTTGGGTCAAAATACATACGTATGGTGACAGTACAAGTAAATAGTTGGCAATACTAGAGCTAAAATAAGCTTATTCATCATACTAAGAAGTAGATATATTTTTTATAATTAATAAATGAATGATAAAAATAAGCACAACCAGACTTGGATAGAGGTTTGTTAGTTCACCCTTTTCATTTTTTATTTCTTTTCTTTTCTCAGTATTTAGCCAAGCATCAACTTCATCGATCAAGCATAACACAATAATCTGATGATTGAGGATAAACACCAGGTTTTCTTTTCTCCATTTAACAATATATCCATTTAACAAACCTGTGCAACATTTTGCTCATAAGATCCAAGTATGCCAATAGGTTGCGGGTATCCAGTTCCAGAAGTTAATGGAGACATGAACCAGCTAGAATCTAAGGAAGTCGAGTGCCTAGGCAATGGTTCACTTGACCCAAACTCTCCAGGGAATTTGTAAGGACCATGGCCACTACTTCCAGAAAATTCACCACCGCCAAAAGATCCAAATGGTAGATAGTAAGCTGACCCTGGCCCAAAAAATGTATTGTCAACAAGGTTTTCTTGGCTGATATTTGCCGATGACATTATTTCATTCTGTGAGGCTGGAAGTCCTGAAGTAGCATGTGGTGGGCCAGGTGAAATTGGTGGCGGATAGTAAGGCGGGGTCACAGGCATTTGATGAGGAGAAAACAGCTGACCATCAAACATTATTGGAGAAATAGTGCTAGCAAGTGGGGAAAACTGTCCATATGCCATCTGGGAGTCAAAGCCATAGCCCGGAGGAAAGAAGAGCGAAGAATTATCATTGTACATGGCCTTCAATAAGAGTGACACAAGATTTAGTATCTAAAGGATTTAATCCTTGATATCACGTATTCATAACACAGCATCTTAACTCACCGGAGGTATGACATTTAAGTTGCCGGCATTAACATAATTTGACTGTTCATCCCAGTTACCACTGCCGTTATCATACCCTGGAACACAACATGATCAAGATTTAACATTCTAAATCAGTGATGATTAAACACCACAAAATAAATAATTAGGAATAAACTGGCTTTACTACAACAGCTCCCTAATCTTTCAAACCATATTCTCTGTATTTACATATTATAAGGTTTAACCCCAAAATCCCAGTCCCGAGAGAACTCCATACATTCCTTCATCTTTCTTGCTGTCTATGTACTACAAACAAATTTAACCAACCGAGTTAGCAAACCAAGGAATACCTGCAATATAATAACCTTGTTCTTGAGGGGTATATGTGTTAAATGGTTGCTGAGTAGAAAGAGCTCCACTTGTTACTGAAGTCGCAGGCTGATCTTTGGTGCTTCTTGAAGCTTCCATGATGGCTGCACCTGGAGAAAGACTCGTAGAGGCAATCCTTTCATCTTTCGGCGAAGTCTTCTAATAATATAGTAACATATTCATGCAGATGTACACAACGAGCATATCAGCTATGCTAATAAATCTATAGGGATCTCAAGGAACAAAAACCTGATCAAAATAAAAAGAAGAGGATGTAGAAAACACACCTCTTCACTTAAATTATGCGACTCAACAGCTCGGTCGCCTGCATCCAACAACACCATCTCGATAGTCAACAAAAGAACAGTAAACATATCATCCATAAACACGGGGCATAAGAAGTGAGAAGATAACAGTCGAACAAATGATCCTTATTACCAAGGATGGGTTCTCTCATAGAATATACATTGGATAGGTCGGAATGGACTTTCAAGCAAAATAATCTTGATCATACATAAAACACTAAATTAGGGTTTCTGACAAACTGACAAGCCATTTCAGGAAGTAAAAGCTCCATGGAGAAAGACAGCCAGTAGACTTCCTTCTTCTACTATCATAAAGCATGGACGAAACTCAATGCATACAAAACAGGCTTAAAAGAACATTTGAATCTGAGATGAAACATACAACATAAGAACAAGAGCTTGGAAAAATCCTCTTGCATCTGATTTAGCTTAGATGCCAATCTAACGTTAATTGTAACCTATTGACAAACACCGGGCTCCTACGGTATTCAATTAATTAATTAAATAGCCCAACGAAATAAAACAAGTAGATTCTTTTGTTCTCAAGAACTCAGTACAAGAAAATCAGAGCAAAAGACCCCCTAACAACCCTTTCCAGTGTAAAACCCCTAACCCTAAAACTTAAAAGCAGGGAATTGAAGATATTGAACCAAAATTCACGAAGGAAAAACAACGTGAAGCTTCAATAACATGAAAGAAACTCCTGAAAACTCTGCCTGCGGATGACAATTTAAATGAAATTCGTTTGTCGATGCAGAAAAAAAATGAGAAACCCAAGAAATTTCGCAATCCCAGTATGAAGCAGAATTATTTCTTGATTAATACAAAATTATATACAAGAAAACGCAATCACAACAAAGCATACACAGATTAAGGGAAAGCAGAAAAAAAAAAATATAACAAAGCAATAAGTGCAAAGATAAAAACCAACCTGTAGATTGGGTGGGGGCGAACGGATCTAGGCTTTGTGATTTCGCGTCCTCCATTGAACACTACCAAAATTAACTTCAAACTAATAATAAAATCAAGATTCAAAAGGGGCAGCAACTACAAATCCAGATCCAACGGAGCTGAATACCCAATCAAATGATCCAATTAAACGAAATGAACGAATTTACTCATGAATTTGTATATATCAGTATGCGCGAAGAGCCCTCCTCTTCCTCTAATATTGAGAATGTTGAAGTAGCTCGAATGTTAATNCAAAATGAAGAACGCGGACAAAGGGTTTTGGAGGGCGATAATTACATACATATATATGTGCGATTATGCATGCATAAATTATGTAATGAAATTAGACTGATTTCATTTCTAAAAACTCCATAAAAACAGCGAACATACTTTTTATCGGCCATTTTGTCCTTTTTCACTTTGGACAAATTTTGGAGACGGTGCTAGATTAACTTCACGGTGTAGTTGGTTAATAAAAAATAAAATTATGAATGGCTGTAATAAGTAGATTTTATGCTTTAACAAAGACAAAAAAGTAGATTTTATGCGTAATATAAAATCTAAACAAAAATAAAAGGCAAATATAAAAGTAAATTAACACTTAATTTCCTAATCTTCAATATTTACCATACTAGTAAAGTGCACGTGCGATGTACATGATGAAATATTTTTGATCGATTAAGTTTAGAAAAATAAATTAATTAATTTATTAAATATAATTCCAGGAAAGAAATAAAATGTAGAACAAATGAGCTCCTAATGTTTACTTTTTAAAAAATAACATAATGACTAAAGTAATATCTACCCGTCTTCTTCTAATATTAATTAATTTTAACAAAATAATCCCCGGCAACGGCGCCAAAAACTTGTTCGCTAATTATTTTCGCTAACCGCAAGTGTAAGGTGTAGCTATAGGTAGTGGCGAACAAGGTCGTATTCCACAGAGATTGAAGTTAAATTAATTAAGTACTAAAATTATGATGATTAAATATTATTTAGACTAATAAACTGGGATGATGATTATAAACTAAAAGATTAAACTAAGAGTTAATTTACCTAAAGTAATAAAAATAAATCACGATATAAAAGATAGATTCTAGGTTAAGTGTTCCTCGTAATTAATTCATGAAACGTTTATATTCAAACAAACCTTATTTAATTTTACCAATCGTAGAGATAATCGCTAAATTGATTTCAAACCTTTCTCTCGAAAAAGTTAAATCGTAGATATTAATTGTATCTATCTCCTCTCGGTCTCAATATAACAACTAACTCCCATAAGTTCCTAGGATATTCGTTCTCTCGCAAGGTCCTATCAACCTCTCGGTCTGTTTATTCTCTTACGTTATAAATTTCCTAATTCTAGCAATCAATTCCTATCAACTTCTCGGTCTGTTTATTCTCTTACGTTATAAATTTCCTAATTCTAGCAATCAATTATCTCCTCTTGGTCTCAAATCAATTACAAATATGCATTCATAGCGGCCGTCTACTCACACAATAATAATAAGCACAAGAAATTTATAAACGAAAGATAAACCAGAATGAAATAAATAAAAACTAAATCATAAATCAATCCGAGTACTAACAAATCCTAGAATCTAATATAAATCTAGCCTAGAAACATGATTTCAAAATAAGAAAAATAGATATAAAACATTGAGTTCGAAAGAAGAAAAGAAAAAGAAAGAAAAAAGTTTATTCGGCTCCGTCGATCCTTTCTTCTCGGGTTTCTCCCTCGTCTTGCTCGTGTTTCTAGCCTCCAAAGGTCTCCAAAAATATGTCCAAGACTCCTCCAAAAACGTGTCCAAGGGGTGTATATATAGTTGAGGTCGAGTCCTAATCCAAATAGGTCGAAAAATCCCAAAAACAAGGAAAAACGCGTAAAATCCGTACAAGTCGCGCCCAGGGTCACACGACTCGTGTCATAGGCCACACGAGTCGTGTGTCAATGTCGAGAGCTCGATTAGCGACCCGTCGGAACCACACAAGCCGTGTCTCGGGCTCACACGACCCGTATGTACCTGGGAGTTCAAAACAGCACCAGATCGTCATTTTCAGCAGGAGCGGATGGACATTGTATTTAGGGGGGCCATGGTCCCCCCCAAACTTTTTTATTTTTTTTAACTATGTATATATAAATATATTAGATTAAGTCTATAAATTTATTATTGTCCCCCCCAAGGATCCAAGGCCTCATTACCAATTAACTACATCTACATAGACTAACACTAGTCAAGGCCCATTAGGATATATTTAAAATATAAGTCATAAGCCCATTTAACTCTCACATCTTCATGTATTATATATTATATATTATATTAGTTATCTATTAATAATAAACTAATAAACTAATCTAAACCTATGTAACATAAACAAACAACCAGCAGCAACTTCAATTCCAGAGGTAGAGGCGCACTCACGCACAAACAAGTGACACAATACACAACAATTGGCACGGTAAAATGAAAAATCACAAATCCTCCGTTCAATACCTTGATTCTTCTAAGTATTTTGATCATTCCTTTATATTTGTGAGTACTTTATTTATGCCCATATTCATAATTTAATTTATTTATCATTTTTAGGGATTTAGGATTTAAAATCATCACTCAAGAACATATGGAACATATATAGGCTTATGAAAAAGATTTACTATAAGTTCAATTGCGACATTATGAGATTGATGTTCTCAAGCATTTAGAATTTTAAAATTTGTGCACTATCTCTGATTTGTGCCAATGGATGGTGAAGATCAGAAAGTCCTTGATATATCCGTTGATTGATAGATTAATAAGATTGATTCTTACACTTCCTGTGTCCACGACGACCACAGAGCGTGCATTTTCGGCTATGGGTATCGTTAAATCCAAACTTCGAAGCATTTAGAATTTAAAATTTGTGCACTATCTCTGATTTGTGCCAATGGATGGTGAAGAGCAGAAAGTCCTTGATATATCCGTTGATTGATAGATTAATAAGATTGATTCTTACACTTCCTGTGTCCACGGCGACCACAGAGCGTGCATTTTCGGCTATGGGTATCGTTAAATCCAAACTTCGAATTAAAATGGAAGATGACTTTCTTGTAAATTCTTTGACTATCTTTGTTGAAAGAGAAATTGCAAGATCTAATACTACCGAGTCAATCATCGATGGGTTTCGTGACTTGAGAGAACGTCGAGCACAATTCTAACAATCACAAAGTTTGAACGGTATGTATTTTTTGAACTACTTTTTTTTATATTCTAAAAATGCAACTTTGTCTTTTTAATGAAGTATGTCATTATTGAAAATTATTTCGTCCCCCCAAATAAATTTTCTAGATCCGCCCCTGATTTTCAGTTCAGTTCGTACCTTCTGGTCAAATTTCCGGCATCTCAGGCGACTCCCGCTGATTAAAAACACATTCAGGTCGCCGGGCATGGTCGTTCCCGGCGGATTTCTGGAAGCTTCCGTACAGTCCGGCGAGCAGCGAGTTCTTGAGCTTAAAAATGGCGGACGTACGTCTTCTCCTGTGTGATGGCTTCGATCTGGTCAGAGATCCGGTGATGCAGCAGCGGCGAGGTGGCAACGGCGCGAGACTCCAAGCTCTTTCATGGCGGGCGGATGCTGTACGTGAGGAAGGAGAAGCCAAACTTCTGAAATTACCACTTTGCCATTACTTAAATTGATGAGTTGGGCTGAATTTTACTAATGTTGTGGGCCTTGGCTGATTTTATGATATGAAAGTTGGGCCAACAATAGACATGGGGCTGCCACCAGCAAGTCTTGTACTTGGACCAGTTCCAATTCACGGTTTGCACTCCTTTTATGTCCGTTTCACGTCGTTTTCAACTCCAAAAATTATTTCAACCCCACTGCCTGTTAGAACTCAAAATAAAACACCTTATCATAGCTTAATATAAATAATTAAATAATTAATTAATTAAATAATAATTAATTAAATAATAATTAAGTATATATCAAACTACGACAAAACGGACACAAAAATCACTATAAAATGCACGTAAATATGACGCATGTCAATGTCCTAATATAAAAAAATGAAATAACATATTATAACCCCATAAAATATAGAAAAATGAGTCCCTCAGGAAAAAAAGTATACTAAATAATAAGGACCTAATGTATATTATAGATGCACTAGTATTGATATCCATGCTATCATGCACGGGGTGCAATACAAAAAATATTTTTTCTCTGAATATTATAAAATTATTTAAAATAATATAAAAATATTTTCTCCACAATATTTTATTCAGTAATAATATGACATTTATTTATTTATTATTGTTAATTTCTATTTATACATATATATATGTAGTTTTTGACTATTTAATATATATAAATTTTATTATTTATAAGTTTATAAAATATTATAAATGTATAAGATCATATGATATTTGCATACAAATTATTTGTATGTACTTATAAAATTGTTGTTTATCATAGTCTTATAATGTTTTTAGCAATTCATAATTTGCACATTGCTTGATAATTGATCAACATTTAACCCATAATATTTATCTTCCACTATAATTATTAAGTGCATTAAATGTTAAAATTTTAATAAATAAATTTTAATTTTTAGTAACTTTAATCCTTATGCAACACATAAATTTTTTATGGTTAAATATTTTATTTTTATGTTTGCATTTTTTATTTATATTTATTTATTTAATTAATATTTTCAACCTATATAAAGAGTTACATAGTATCTATTCGAATATTTAGATATATTATATATTTCCATAATTACCAAGTGCTATAATTTAAATTATTACACATTGCTCTTTTGTTAACTTGTTTTTCATTTATAAAGTAGTATATTAGAAAAAAATATATATATTTTTTTAAAAATTAAATAGTTTTTTAATGTACACAGATACTTCTAAGGTGAATATATAATTCTGAATTGCACCAGACCATCACATTTTATTTTTATTAGTATATTACTTAAATTTTCAATAGTATTATCACTGCATATGATATATTCAATGAGGATGTACCTTTTATAGTTAAATTGACTACATTTTAGAAACTTTTATTAATATTTTAAATTATTTGTTAAGTTATTATGATTTAACATAGTTATTCTGATTATTTTATTAAATATTTTAAGTACTTCTGAATAGTGAATATAATAAATCTTTTTTTCTCAACCCTATTTCCCAAAAACCCATCCGCCGCTTTCCAATCATTTTGTCAATCGGCCTTCCCCAGTGACTTCTAAGCTCCGGCCAATGGTCATCTCCAACTTCTCGCACCACTCCTGATATCCGCTCTTCCGATGTTGCTGCAGGTGGTCAGAGCTGGGTGGTCGGGCCTCGGTTTCAGACAGGTGCTCGATACGTAGTGCGGCTTCTTGACGGAGAATGGCCTGCGATTTGGTCGCTGGCAGATCCCCAGCTGGAAGTCGTCAACTGCACGATTCGCCTCTGGTCTCCGTAATGAA